CTATAACATCCAAAACATGTCATTTTCATTTCGTTTTGTACATGAATTTTCTCCGGTGACCCAATATTTATATTACATTTTATTTCCAAAGAAAATGGTATTATTTTTTAACTTTTGATTGGCAATCTACGTCAACTATCACGTGAACAATTTTTGATTTCAAAATATTTTTCAAAAGTTCAATTATCACTTATCAGACCCATCATGATACAATATCGTGACTGTCTTGTACCACGTGTCTTGGATTTGCTAATGACTTTCTAGCTTTAGGTAGTTATACGCCATTACATGGTGGCATGGTATAATATCAAATCATCGACAACACTAATAGTTCTAATATTTCGCTATTATTTATGCATTTTATTGAATTTATAACCACGACATTTGATAGTTTTAGCAATTGTCAACTGCGCCCTCACACGTCAACTTCAAATACTAGGTTACACAAGTACGCATGCGCAAACTGTGATCCGCCATTTTGGATTTGTACTCGCTTTTCAGCGAGATTGTTTTTGATAGTATACCTCTAAAATTGTCGGCAACTAAGAAGAGTTTTTGGAAGAGGAACTTTTCGCTAGGTTCCTCGTGTTGCTCGACAGAGGTAGGTATAATTTGGTAGTTCTGTTTATGGAATTCTGGCTGTAAACCATCAGCATTTGAAGAGAGTTCAATTCAACCCAAAGCGTGATTTCTTTGAGACGCATGTTTTTATTCTCCGTTGTGCTTGATGAAAATATCGTGATCCCGTTTACTACGCCGCGAAAAGACCACGACCGCACGATTTTTTGTGCAATGCTTATATTAACAGCGATACCACTGGCTTGCACATGATGCTGTGAGTTCATGACGTACTTTAATAATAAAATATACCTAATAATATCAACTGTTGTTGTGACACCATTTCATGATAAAAACTGACCCTACATTGATACTATGTCACTGCTTGTTCTCTGTGCGTCTAATGATGATAAAACATGCAGCTCATTCCTGGAAACTGGACAGCCATATCGAAGAATTGGTGACGTGTTTGATATTTAACTGTACATGTATATGGCCTTACCCTGCCAGACCCATGCACTTTTACATTGACTTGACAGATGAGCAGTAATAATACGACAGCAGCTTTTTGAAAAATGACCCGGGAA